TAAGTAATTATACTAGAATCAGGTTAATTTACTTCAGAAAATCATAAATACACATCCTATGGTATGAACTTTCCACTATGGTAGATTTTATGAATTTAAGTGCAGTTCTAGATTAGCAGTAAGGGCTCACCCTTTTACAGTTGAAATGGCTAGATGTAACTAAGTTCTATGCTAACAGTTCCTTCTATCGCACTTCTCGTTTGTGGAACTCTCTTCCAGCTTCTTACTTCCCAGTCAACTTTGATATTAAAAAAATTAAATTCAATGTCAATCATTATCTACTGTTCTCTTGATTCCTGTTCTGTGATTGTCCTATTTCTCTCTCTTTAATAAAGGGTGTTCCAATAACTTGGACAGATTTTAAATGTGAACGAAGTTTAAGCATCTAATGATTTTTTCTTTTAGATTTCACAGACATTTGGGGGATATTATTTTTCACACATAATTGCCATGACTTAAATAACATGATCCAATAGAGAAATAAATAAATTTTCACCAATAACACTGATTTATTTACTACTGACTTTGATCCTTCTTAATGAAACACCCTTACATATAATCTGTCTTAATGAAACACCCTTATATATAATCTGTCTTAATGAAATGCCCTTTAGTTGTTTTTCTCATATACTCCACACTCAGCAACCATTTTGTGCCCTGGTGACTTTATTTGCTTGCTTGGAGTTAAATGATTAAAAAAAATGTTTATGTTTCATGACCCTTCATTATTTGAGAAATAACTCTAAGATTCATGACTTTTATGGCTCTCAGCAACACTTATGACTTATGTCATCTCTTATGACTTAACATTCTTGTTCATTTCCTGCTAGTTTGTTTCAGTTTCTTTTGACAAAGTTAAAACTAACACATTAAATAGACATACACATTTTTGTTATCTTTTTTTATAACAAAGAAAACCACTTTTAGGATATTCATTAGAGAATACAGCTTAATAGCTGTAGTTTACAAGATCATAAAATGAACCCATTCATTATGGACATGTGCCTATTGTTTAAATAAAATATGATCTTAATATAGTTTTTAATCAACATTAAGCACCCACTCCTTTTCTTTATTATTATTTCTGGATGACTGACAGAATTAAGCCAAAACTGTTCAGTTTTCTTGTTATCTTGGCTTACTTAATTTTCACACACACACACACACACACACCTTTCCAGGCACAGAGACACATACAAACATTGAAGCCTCAACACACATATATATATATACATACAAAAGAAACAGAGGCACAAACAAAAACACCTATTAAAGCAAAGCAGTATATACAAGAGATGACTACATATTCACACACAAACACAATACTGGAAAATTATTAGGAAAAGAACAAATATTTTTCCTTTTATTTCTTTGAAAAAAGAAGAAAAAAAAAGGACATTATCGAAATACAAGAAATGCTTATGCAATGAACGAAAAACAAAAAAATAAAAAAGTATAAAATATTTTCATAAAAATCCAAAAAATAAATGATCAATATTTTTTAGGTCCTCCCTTCACCTAAATAACAGCTATTACTCTGTCTGGCATTGATGAGATTAATTGTTTGTCAAAATTTCTTTGAGGATTTCCTGCCAGCTTGCTGTTTATCTTCCTGCTCTCCATCTTTTGAAGTGATTTCTGATTATTAGATCCTGAAGATATTCAAGGAGACTATGTTCTGGACACTGTGGTGGCCACAGCCTAGTATTAAAGTCTCATTCCTCTTCTTTTTTAAGCCAAAGAGTTTTGATAGGACAATGCTTAGAATCAAGTTTTTGGTTTTGCTGCAATAATAAACGAATTGCATAAACATTATGCTTGTTTTAAATGAATTTCTTTTGCTGCTTGTTGAGATAAAATATAAAGGCCAGCTTTAGTTTCATCCTCATATATTCACATGGATGAACACATTTTTCATATAGGTAAGTTTTCTAATCTAAGTCTGACTTTACTGGTACTCCAATAATCCCGTGCTTCATTTTAGTTATTTTCTGTAGTAATGATCTACATATTTCTGGTTATAAGAGGAAAAATTGACAAATAGAATTTTGCAGTTATTAAGTTTCTAAATTCTGTGTGTATACTGAGCATGGAGACTCAAGAGAACAGATTGTCAGTGATCAGAAACTGATACAAGGATTACTGAAAAAACAGAGCTACTACATACATAAACTAATTGTTACCAGAAGAAGGCTGAAGAAATGATCAGCTGAAATATGATAAAAACAACAGGGAAAAATACTAAGAAAAAAAAACATTGCCAAATGACAAAAGCAGCAAAAATTTCATAATTTCACACAAAAAATGGTTATAGTATTAAATGATTGCTATAATGACTCTCACATTAATATTAGAAATATTAAAATTATTTTTGAAATTATATTTAAAATCTAATAACGTGTATTTTTAATTTTTTTTTTTTTTTTTAAATATAATTTAAGTAACCATTATGTTGGATCTGGAGATAAAATCTCTTAGCTTCACTGTACTCAGTTTTCAATCATTAATACAGAATTAAGAAGACTAAGGCAAAATTAGATAATTTTATAAACCCAAAATTCTTCCAGCAAAAATTAGGAACATAACTTCAAGTTTCTAAGTTATAGCTCTCATTCAGATCTGATGTAAAATGTGTGCTGTTGCTTGTAAACACAAAGAGAATGAAAAGTAATTTTATGAATAGGAAAATATTAGTTTCTTTGAGATGATATGTAAAAATAATAAAGCAAACCAAAGGCAGTAACTTGCATCATTGGGCACTGCTGGTGTGATTAAATAAGAAAAAAAAAAGCCTTGATCTTATTAGAGATTAGAATTTCTAGCACTGATATGAATCCGATTAATTCTGATAGCCAAATACTGAAATGAAACCATAGAGGTTAAGTAAGTGGCAAATTTAATAAAATGACATAAAGCTTAAAATTACATTTGAAGATAATACTACCTGATAACATTAGCAAGGGATAAAAATGTGCATAGACAGAAGAAATGTAATCATTATTCAACATTCAATTTTTCAAAGTGTATTTTTGTCTTCATTCTTTAGTCACATGTTTTGAATGAATTGAAAAAAAAGGATTCAGTTTGAGATTTCAGGAAGCTTACAGAGTGCAAAGACAGACAGTTGAAGAACTCCAGAGGCTAAAATAGCTGAAATGTTGTGAATATATCAACCAAGATGAGTGTGCTGATCCAAATGCTTCTTTTTATGCGTTGTGTCCTTTCAGGGTGTATGTGATCATGGCCCGCCACTTCCCCCTATCCCTTGTGGCTCTCAACAGGTTTTGTGTCTCTGCCAATCCCCCCAGACTATGCTCCACCATTCACCTGCCCAAGCCCGCCACATATGTCATGCACTGCTTTCCTCTGTCTTTTTTTCCCTCTATTCATCCCGTGAGTATCAGATTCTCTAGGACCTCCTTTCTCATCACATGTCCCAGAAATTTCATCTGCATCTTCCCTATGTTAAGCATAAGCTAACTCCTTCTTTGCATCCTTGGTCCAAATAGCAAAGCCTTAATAATCAAAATAATAATCTCTTAACATTTCTGTGTAATAAATTTGTTACTCTATATCAGCATGTTGTTATCGGACATGATTATAGCCTTATTGTCTACTGATCTTCTGAAAGTCAATGTTTTTGTCTTTACTTTTTCTTTTCAGTCAAATGAAATGTAGTCATTCGATGTAAATTGCAATATTAATCATGTGAAACACTTGGGTGAAACGTTGAGTCTCAAATAATGTATATTCGTCACATTAATCTTTGTAAAATAAGACAGTGAATGATTTCTCTTTCTAGGCTAATGCATAAGCTGATGCCAAATGAAGTGATCCTCAGCTGGATTTGGATGTCTGACACAGAAAAAATTTTGGTATTTATCACTTCATCTTGAATGAGTTTCAACTTTGACCACAAGCAAACAATAATAAATGACATGTGGTTCAATTTCAACATACTATTTGTCTGTGAAAGAAACAGTGTTGGTAGAAGTGGTCTTCATAGTGTTTGTAAGAGTGAAGACCCAGTCTCTTAATTTTAGGTGGGGATAGGGTAACATCGATATTAATACATATGCAGCTGGTGAGTAACCCTAATATTTATAGCATACAATTTTCTCAACATTTTCAAATTGAAATTACAGAAGCTGCTGAGCTAATTGCATTCCAAGTTTGATCACATTTTGTTTTGAAAGTATACAATACATGTTACTACACTGCGTGCCAAATTATTATCGAGATAACTTTTTTTTCTAATATTTCAAAAACCGTCCAATCAATTCACAGACAATTTTCAAACAATGTTGGCAACACTGACCTACGCAATCACTGAAATTTTTGTACTGATCTGCGCAATGTAAACAAACTGGCGCCATATTTGTTATCAGCATGATGATTTGAGTGTGCCAAATTATTAGAATGGTTTAGTAAAATTCCCAGAATTGAGCAAACAAAACGTTTATTAATGTTGCATGTGAATGTTTATGATCAAAAGAAGCTAATAAATAAGATAATCAAACAAATAATAACAGATACAAACAAAGGCACAGTTTTAAACAAATTAATAGGGAATGTGCTTTCCCTGTTTTGAAATTACTAAATTACTATTAAAGTCGACGATCCATAGAATTTGTTAATTGTAGGATGTCATCTGCAGTAATGCCGCGAGATATGTCAAGAATTGCTTCCCACAACTCTGCGTTGCTCCTAAATTGTCGTCCGTTGGTGTACAGTCTTTGCTTCATGATGCTCCAAAGGTTTTTGATTGGGTTCAAATCCGGAGAATTTGCTGGCCACTTCGTTTTCCGAGGTCCATTGAAGCCTAACTGTTTCAAATATTCAGTAGTCTTGTGAGCAGCATGTGAGGGAGTATTATCTTGCATAAAAACAATGGACCTTCTGAAGGCAACTCTTTGCCTTTTCATCCACGGTTCAAGATGCTCCTTCATAAACGCTATGTATGCATCAGCAGTCATTTTGACGCCATCTGGTACTCTAGCTTACGGTCAAATCACGCTGAAACACCGGTTCTCGTATGATCACCGAAGTTAAGCATCGTAGAGCCAGCATCAATTAGTACTTAGATGGGGGACCGGGGAACACCTGGTAATGTAAGCCCCCAAAGTCCAACCCTTACCTCACAGTCGGTGGGGGGTGTGTAAACGGTAGTGTCAGAGCTATGCCGCCCAGAACTTCGTTCCTGGTAGGGCCACCCAAGGCGGACAGGTCTGACACACACGCCGGCTAACAAGGGCTCTGGTGAAAATCCAAGGAGCGTCTGCATCGGCAACCGGCGGCTTCTGGTTGTTCCTGTCTCTGCGTCTGTGGGAATCCCGCGGCAAGCAAGAACGTTATTCGAGTAGGCCTGGGTACCCTACTTCTGTAATTTATCCCAAGAATCTTCTTCTCATAACAGGAAGAAGCCGGCTCAATCCGCCCAGGGTGAATGCCGCATCAGTACAGTAGTACAGTACATCTGGTACTCTCCATGGGCCCACTAATGTGTTTCCAATAATACCACCCCAGATCATTATGCCTCCACCGCCAAATGCTGATGGCGATTCCGTCCGTTCATTACCGAGCCTTTGCACCATCTATCTGGCCCATCAAGTGTTGCTTGAGTTTCATCTGTAAACTAAACTTTAGAGAAGTCAATCTTCATATTGTCCTCGGCCCATTTCAATCGATTTTGAATGTGATTTCTCGTCAACAGAGGCTTCGATACAGGTTTGACTGTTGTTGCTATTTCCCTCAGATACCGACACCGAGTACTTTTAGACACAGTAGGATCCCCAATGAAACTGAAAAGCTCTTGACTGGAAAGTCCAGGGTTCTTTGTGGCCTCTCGTTTAAGTCGTGACATGAGACGACGTGAAATAACCCTCGGCTTGCCTTTATCTGCCCTTTTGCATAATTGTGTAGGGTCGGCGGTGAACTTTTTCACTGTTTGATGACGTCTCCCTATTATTTTAGAAATTTCTAGAGCAGATTTACTTTTTGAGAGTTCTGAGGTGATAGTTTTTTTTTTTTGTCATTTTAAACTGCTTTTTACAACCCATCTTTTCACTAAATTCTTACACTTTTCTAATAATTTGGCACAAAATCAACATGCTGATAACAAATATGGCACCAGTTTGTTTACATTGCATCTCATTCCAGTACAAAAATTTCAATGATTACGCAGGTCAGTTTTGCCAATAATGTGTGAATATTTTGTGTGAATTGATTGGACGGTTTTTGAAATATTAGAAAAAAAGTTATCTCGATAAGAATTTGGCACGCAGTGTATATCAAAATTCAGAGGCTACCAGAAAAAAAAACATACAAAAATCCTTCACAGATGTTTAAATCTTAACTGAAGGATCAAATGCTACGAGAAAGATTTTTAGATTTTTCACATTTCCTCTATATTCCAATTGTAAAGAAGTTCAACCCAACAGCTTCCCCCCCCCATATGGAACAGATTTCCTGAACATGACAATTTTAACATCTCATTCAACGGTCAATTCTTATGTATCCTCCTTATCCTCATAATTTTAATTTCCTACCACCACCTAATACATTCATATCATACACACCATTCAGTACTTCAGTTGCTATCAAACCTTGTATGGAATAAAATTTAGTAAAAGCATTTGTACAGGTTTATGTTGATGTTTACAATAATGATTGCCTGTTCCAGCAAGAGAAAGCTTTCCAAAAATGAACTTGTGACAATGAATCATACGGAAGGACAAAAATATTTTTACTAAGTAATTCTTCAATGTAAAAACCCATTTCTTTAATATGTGTTATATATAACATTATCTATAAAAATTAAATACATGGTAAGCATAAGCAATATGAAATATTAAAATGAAATATACAACTCCAGTAGACAAAAACAAGAAAATTATCTACTATAAAAAATTTAAAATTGTTAACTTCATCACCAACCACATCTCACCTGTAAAATCCAAATTACAGAAAACCAATATGATTTATGGATTCACAGGTGCCCTGTATTCCTGATCAAACCAAACTGATGAATAATTATATTGGATATACTACTACATGTCTAACAGGAAGACTCACATTACATCTCTCTGACCATAGCTCAAATAGGAGTCTTAAGCAAACACAGAGACCTACCAAACAATTTGTAACATATTCATTGACATTACAAATATGATAGCCTCATCCACATGTAAAAAAAAAAAAAAAAAAAAAAACAAAATGATGCAAGTATTATTAATAAAAAGAAAAAGCCAACACTCAATAAAATCAACTATGAACATAGCCACAATGTGCTGGGCATGGTTGAAAAATAAAAACAGTCTGGATATGTACATTAGACAAAAAATACATACATTCAGTTAAAAGTGAAAATAAATTCATGTTTTATAATCGCTAAAAGAACAGACATGGCCATTCACACATATCAAAAGAATAAACAGAGCACCATAATCTTCTAGATCCTGGAATGACATGACATAAAAAAAAAAAAAGGATTTTTTTAAAATATTAGAAAATGTCAACAATCCCATTCAGGCAATTCCATATAATTTCAAATCCAACTTGACAATTTATGAGCCAATATTTGAATGTGCTGAACCCGAAAGATATGGAATCTGATCTGAAACTTAAACTATGTTTTTTTGGGTTTTTTTGCTGGGAAAATACTAGAAGAAAATAAAAGCAAATTGCTGATTTTTCAAGAGGAATGTCTTCACTTGGGCATATATATTCATATAACATCGTTATATTATATTTAACAATTTTTTTTTTTTTTGCATTTATATCATTTATATTTTCAATGTAGGAAGTTGCAAAAGTAAATATATGCAGAAAGACAGAACTATGTTACATCCAACACTGATGATCAATTTTGAAAATCATCTAATGGTAGGACAACTCAAGAAATTGTTTGTAAGGAATCACTTGGGCATATAATTCAGCCAACATCGTTCAGGTTTACATTTAACAATTTTTTTGTTTTTTTGCATTTATATCATTTGCACGAGTTCAATGTAGGAAGTTGCAAAAGGAAAGATGCAGAAAGACAGAACTATGTTACATCCAACACTGATGATCAATTTTGAAAATCATCTAATGGTAGGACAACTCAAGAAATTGTTTGTAAGGAATAAAAATAGTGAATTGTCACCAAAGGCAAACGCATGTATAAAGGAAACACAAGACATGATTTTCTGCTGTTCAAAATACCAAGTAATATACATCAATATTTTTATGAAAATAAAATATGATCACATATATATATATATATATATATATATTGGCATGCTTATTCAAAGAATATGTTAAAATTCAGCTTCTTCTTACCTACAATGATATTAGGTAAAATCTCCAACTGATGTTGCAAATGTTCCTTTTTTGAATAAATATCTAATTAATTGATGAGATGTGATACAGTGAAACAGTCTGTCTGTGTATGATATATTATATATATATATATATATATATATATATATATATATATATATATATAATTTTTACATCTTATACATAAAATTTCTATGATTCAGAACTTAAAATTGTTCCTCATCAGGCGATGTTAGGTAACTTATGATGAAAATGATTTAATTGGGAAATCAGAAATCAATTCAGTACCTCATTTGGTAGTTAAAAAGGAGGGGGAGAACCAAGATTCCAAAATTAAAAAACTAATTTGTGGACATGTCTTCATTAACCAATTAAAAGACAGATCAAAGCTAACATAGAAAAATGAAAATAAGATCAGAAGTTAGAGGTCGGTGAGTTATTAATACATATCTAGATAGGTTGACATATTAGACACATCCAGCTCAGATGACATCCGGATATGATATAAGATACAGTGAAGTAGACAGTTATATTTAACAAAAGGTTTATTTTTAAGGAATTTCAAGATGTTTTTTTATAAATTTTTTATACTTTAGAACCATCTTAAAGGGGCCTCTAGTATAATTAAAACATTTTTAAAATATATTTTTTTAACCCTAAATATGTTAATTATATTGAATTGCCAATAAAACATGGCAATATTAAAGTTGAAAAATCAAAGAATTAAATAAATATTATGTGGACCATTATATATTAATAGTAATAAAATAATGGATATGCAATTATAGGGGACATGGGTCATTTAAGGACTTACAAATTCTACAGTAGGGGTTTTATTAATTTCTTTAAAATATTTAGATGGATGTTTACGGTAAGCATTGTTGTTAAAATAAGATATGGGCTGATACCACCTGTTTGAAGCGATTTTTTCAACTACCAATATAAAATTTCTTAACAGCCAGCTTTTCAGCAGATGAAATGGTGCACTGGTAAACAACTGATTCCGTAAGACATCTATTTAGCAATGGACAATTTATATGAATCCTGAAATTACATAATTTAATCATTGATTTCTGTTTTGTAATTACTAGTGTTACATTGTTACATTTAAGTGTTGATTTAAAATTTTATTATGTTTTTTTAATAATCTTTTTATCAGTATAACTGTAACTTAATTTAAGCGAATTTTAATGAAAATCTTGCTTAGAGGATTATTACTAGGGAAATGTTTCTCAATCAAACCGAGAAAGATATTATATATATATATTATTGATGTCACTGCTTTTAGTTAATTAAATAATATTAATATTTATAATATTGTTAATTACTTTATTGACTTTCATGGTAAAAAAAGAGAGTTACCTCCATTGATTTCCTAATGTCTGTTCTTATTTATTACTTTCATTACATCAAATAATTCTCTAAATTAGAATTTATTATTCTTATTTCCAACCTTATTTTCAATCTTAATGTTATTTAATCTTTTCAATCTTAAATGTTATTCTGGGACTAAATTCAAATTGAAAATTAAACCACAATTCATTTAAATATTTTAACAACAATAATATTCAATTTTTTAAGTATCTCTGTGGAAACAAATATTTGTGGACAAAACTGGTCTCAACCCCAAAAAATAAATATACCAGCACTTTGTAATAGATTATATGAAACTAAGAATTGTGCAATCAACATAAAAGGTTTTGTGTATATATATATATATATATATATATATATATATATATATATATATATATATATATATATGTATGTGTGTGTGTGTGTGTGTGTGAAAAT